AAGTGGCAAGTTAACCTGAATTCGACAGATGATCTTTAAATCATGGTCAAGGTTTGTAGATTGACTGAAGTTGATCAAGTGCTGTTAAACAGAGCTTCGTTCATCCTTTCTTTCTTCCTTGTAAAACCATAGCGTACTCAAAGTGTTCTTTGGCCACGGCCAGTATACCTTTCCCCACAGGAAGTGCAGATGAACTGATAGATGCACATGGAGGCGGCCAGACGGGAGGCTTATCTTTCATGGAGATGGGGAACAACTTACGGCGGGTTAATGTTATTTGTAATTTTTCAGCAAACAGTGTCTTACTGACTGATCGACGGAGACGATTTTTGAGAATATCTGAAGCCTGCTCACCCTTGAATTTCAAGTTCATGAATATAGTGTTTTGGGGGGAACTGAGTCACTGACCAGTTTTGACTGCTTATCTTTCGTGTTCCTGTCAATAAATCGGTTCGGATAAACGTTTTCTGTGTGTGTGGCTTTTGGGAAGGAAAGCCCTGAGTCAGTAATAAATCTCAGATTATTCGCGGATGATGCCTGATCATTCCCTGCATTCCAACTAGAATATACGTCTTCATTTTGTAAATTATCTGTTAGCGGCTTTTTTTATTCCTTCACGTTCCCACTGGAACATAGGGCACCTTCAAGCTAGAGACTTGAAGTTTCTGTAGCAGTGATGTTCATTTTTACAAGATGGGTTTGCTATCCTCATGCCTATCCTTTCCTCTTTACTAGTCCTATTACTGGTTTAAGGAGGTAAATGAGTGTGCCGGTTGGGAATAGAACCACAGACCACATGAGTCATTGTCAGCGAGCATTCTACCGCTGTGCCACCGACATATATCCGTTAGCAGTGGTGTTGGTTTTTCTACTGAGTGAAGTTTCTAGTCTCATTTCAAACCACCTTCCCTTTTCTCTGATAAGTACTCTACTCCTGAACCAGCAGCGTATACGACTGTGAAATATTTTCTTCTTTCTTTTTGTATTACAAGCGATGAGTCAGTTTCACTGTTTAACTTTATTTGTATTAGAGATGACCCATTCTCCCCTAGAAGGAAACGACTGGCGAGTCGTCCAAGGATAACATGGAGAAGACTGTGCGAGTAGATCAGAGACTATAGGCAATCGTGATGCTATCAAGAACCCACTACTCAACACTTCTTTTGTAGAAGAGAATATGGGATATATTGGGCACACTCTTACATCGAATGACATCGCATGCCAGGCCATCGCTGAAGTGGGAGCTGAAATGAAAATGATGAGTGGAAAATCCAAAAGCGTAATAGAGGAGATCTTGTTCAGGGAAAATCAGAGATTATAGACAATTATGTGGCTAGTCAAACAAGACAGCAGAAAAACCAAATAAAGCGGAGATGTGTTGTTGAAGCCCTATGTTCCACTTGAAACCCAAGGGGACAATAATAGATAATACATTATAGACGCCTCTTTATGCCACTGAATAGAAAAGACATATTAGCAGTGTCAAACACAAGTAGTTAGAATTCATCTAATGAGACTTGCATATTCCGCTAGCCAGACGGTGGAGATCAGAAATCTTAAAAAGCCCTTTCTCGCCACCCTACGGTTCACCTTTCTTCCTTTTATTCTATTCGTCGTAGTGATGATCAGATCACAATTCAGCACTAACCAATGAAGTTTGTTAGAGTTTGTTAACTCCCGCCTCTCTCTCTTAGTGTCCTTTTTAGGCTACTACTCAGAAAGGATTACGCCATGTTGCGTAGGGTATTCAAGGTTGTCAGTAGGGCAACTTGTGTGCTACTAAGTTAGCTTGTTAATACATTAGTTGACAGATACCTGAGCTCATGTGATTAATGGTCCTAATCCATAAGGTCTCACTCTAAACAACCTCTCTCTTTTCAACTCTCCATGCCTTGCATCTCATCAGATAGGCCTAGAAGTCATTGTGAGACATCATATTCTCGTATTACCGAGGACAGAAACGGGATGATATCATATCTGGTCCACCTGCGTTCGGTGTGATAGGGATGGCGTCAAGTGTTAGATCTACAGATTACTGTGTACATTAGCAAAATAATCAGCCCTTTTATTCTCCCCGGTTTATAATATATGGAGGCACTGGTATCCATGGTATTGATATTAGCGTAGTGAGGTACAAATGTTCGGACATAATACTATGAAAGTTTCTATGTGCCACTACATTCCTATTCTCTTAATATTTCGTTTCACCTCCGTATTTTCAACTTATTTGACTTTTGATGTGTCTAACTTTTTGTAATTATCGTTTTTACGAGTTGATAACGGATTGATATCAGTTAGAGAACCAGTGCAAACCACCATGGTGTACTGGACAGCCTAGTTTGTGAATCATTAGCAGTAAGCACCCACTGTCAGGGTTCGAACCCAGGACTTTCCGGTTACAAGGCAACCTGGCTCGTATACCATTCAGCCACTGGGACGCAATTCAATGGCCAGAGCATGAATTTTAACTTCTACCAATTCGTGAATTAGGGCGACTCCGACCAATGAATGCTATACGAGCTAGCTTGCCTTGTAACCATACGGTCCTGGGTTCAAACACTGACGATGTGTGTGTACTACCGATGATTCTCAAACTAGGATGAAACAGCTGTCCAGGACGCCCCTCACCAACGCTGGTTTTCAACGGTTCTCTAACTGATATCAATCCGTGATCAACCCGTAAAAAAAAATAATCCTTACGAGCCAACTATAGAAAATTATAGTTCTCATTATTTCTTCAATACTTGGTACTGAATGTGTTAGTTGAATACCTGTTTAACTTCAACCCTACTTAAATATTAAAGTTTTCTACTTGAATTTGTATGGATTAGATACTGTTTAAAGTTCAGATATTTCGTGGACTGATCTTTAAAATGATAAATCAATGAAGTGACATAGAAAGCGTGCAAATTTGCTTTAATATCATAAGCTACTGTAATGCAATTAAGTAGATTACTAATATATGGTTAAATTTAGAACAACACACTCAAGAGTACAATTTTGTTTTCAATTAAATCTCATCAGGCTTAACAAAAAAATAAATAAACTTTCCCATTTAATAATAAACATAAACTATGGTAATCCCTCAGTATTATAGTGAGATTATGCATATAAATTGCGAAATTAGTCACGACAATAATTATTCTATCTTTAACATGATGAAAAAGGGGAGCGATCTGTGAAAACAAGAATAATGAAAAACAGCATGAATAAACAAATCAGTATGTTCAGATTGACGTAGTAATCGATAGAGGCTAAGAAAAATAAGTGGAACAACTGAGCAATGCTAGATTATAAGGGAAGTAAATAAACTATATTTTAATAAATAGTTCATAAGATTAAGGGATGATAAGAGAAAGATTAAGAGTTAATGTAAGGGTCGGTGTTGACATTATCGTTTTCGTTAGGTCTTAGTAGGTCATCAAAAGAGTCATAATGGCTGTACGCACATCTTTTTAATGCATAGTTCAAGCTTCTCAGTCCGAACGCCTATCATTTCAGCTATATGCAGTAGACGAATACGAAGTCTGTTGAAAAGATTAGGTGGGACTTGATGAATCACCTTGAATGCTTTCATTTTCTCCACTAAATAACCATTATCAGTTAAATGTGATGAAATGGAGGTATGGATGGTTTCTGTCTATCCTATTTCAAACCTTGATGAGATATATTCTGTAACACATTGACCAAGTTGTCTGGTCGCACTCACCCCAAACGAACATTCTACTTATACTTCTGGTTAATACCTGGAACAAACTCTTACTTGACAAGATCTGCGCTGACGTTGTCTCAGGTTTTCTATACAATGTTTCTATACGTTTGTTTATGTCTCCGTCAAAGAATCATCATTCTATTCAAATTCCATTTGTAAGTGATAATCTGTACATATCCTTCTGCTCTCCTCGTAAGACATTCAGTAAGACTTATTATAAATATATAATGGGCATGTAATGAAAAAGAAGTGCCTAAATTGCCCTGAAGATATGATTTTTCTACACACTTTTCTCCTAAGTGTCTCATCTTCTCGCCAACTTAGCAAGGAAAATAATGCTTCTGATGGTATTGAATAATCATCGCACAGATTAATGTAGGGTTTTTTGCCATTAGATCTTAGCCAGATAATCGAAGAAAAATGCACAGTCATTTCTGAAGGCAAAAGACGGAGCTCAGACTAATCGAATCGCTCCACTACGGTAGAATTGCTACCCATAATTTTTAATGGAATGTGTTTATTCTGAATGAAATCGAACCTATTTTCACATGGTTGTGTTCCCTGAGCTGGATAGTTTATTTGGGAAGCTTTCATTGTCGTCACCTCTAGGCAACATCTTCCGTCATCGCAGACTTTAATTTGAATTGAAGTGATCTTTTAGATTTCTCCAAGAATTTATTAGTCATCCCTCCTAGTGGATCACCTTGAACGTGATCGGTGATTTTCGTGTGTTTTCACACTCTCTAGGGGCTACTTGTATCGGAACTAATTGTTTCCTTGACATGAACGTTAGCCCTTTGTGTGTGAGGTTTCTTTCTTACCTATTAGTAAATATTTTATCCATGTCAATATGTCTATTGATTGACGATTCACTGAAATACCAGGCTGGCTTCTTAACAATCCCTAGTATTCTCGGTGTTTCTTCTGTCTAACATTTGAACGCTGGTTGTTCCAGTCAAACTGATGTCCATGGTTGTCTGTTTGCAGTGAGGCAATATGAGGGAGTGGATGTCGTGTCTTTTGACGGTTAGTGTATGTTTGTGGATACGAACGACGTCTACTTTGACCAATGTAGTGTTTTTTGTAGTCATTGCAACTTATTTTGTTGATGATGTTAGTTTTATCTACTCACGTTGTTGAGTCTTTCGGTTGACACAGAGGCAACTGAGTGAAGTAATTTCGTTTGTTTTTTTTTTTTGTGACGTCAATTCCTCATCAAGGTTTGAAAAGTCTTACGGTGATTTCTGAAGCCAACGTTAACTATTTTTTTAATTTTCTGTTTTTACAGAATCATGAATAACTATATGCTATGGAGTGTTCTAGACTCATATGCCTGGCATTTATCCTATGAGTATTATATGCTCCACCTATCCTACTATTATTATACAGAGCATGTTATGGAGTTGGAATGCTTTTTTGTAACTCATGAATTATTCGATACTGTTCTTGGTGCTATCTACGTTGAAAAACATTCACATAATGAGACAGAAAAAGAGGTAAGTTAGCAGTGACTCTCATACTCCTCCCCCCGCCCCCACCACTCTTTACTATATTCAACCAATTGTTATTGAAGATGAATTAAGCATTGTATATGATACTTTGATCGAAAATGGCTATCCCGAAAAATTTATCAAGAAACACATGACAGACAAAGCGGAAAACGACAATTCACTATCTCTAAACAAGAAACCACTTTATATACGACTACAATTCAAGAGTGATATACTAAGTGAGATAATTATGAGGAAATTAAGAAAATCATTTCAAAGGACTTTTAATGCCAGTGAATTACACGCATTATTCTCTACACGACCGATGGTGCTACCTCGACTTGAAAATGAAGTACTTAGACTAACCATTTCAAATTGTTTCTACCAATTCAGCTGCGCTTGTCGGGCGAGTTATACTGGCCGTTGCTCTAGGAACCTGATTTTTTGTGCTTGAGAACATCTCCCAGTATGGCTAAGTAAAGGTGTAGTGAAAACCATTAACAGTTCGATAATGGACCATCTGGTTCAAATCGGCCACAAAGCCAGACAGCATTGAAGAATCCTTCTCTATCATCTGCCGGGTGCTTAGTAAATTGCCAAAATTATCGAACCACCGCATGCTCCAAACTGAAGAGGCTATTGCAATTTGCCTCAAACAACCAGCGCTCTGTGTTCAAAAGAAGCAAGTACAGCCCCTACAGTTGCCCTGGCCTGCAGGAGAAACTCATGAATTTGTAATATTATCTTCCCTAATTCTTCTGACATTCAGCTTATTTTATGTTGATGTGATTCAGCTGTAATCTATCAATATTATTGATTTGATGTTATTTAAACATTAATGTCGTTCAAAACACTAATTCATTCATTCACTATAATGTATGTATAACTGTAGAGCCTGATGATGAAGGGGCTATCGAAAAGAATACTCTCTGTTCAGTATCCATTCTTATGACAATTTAAAAACCATTCCAATCATCACGTTTTGATTGGCAGGGATTTTATTGGGCTCACTTTGTAATCTGGAGGTCATACGTCTGATCTCTGGTGGTGGTGTTGGTTATAGGTGTGTATTGCTGAAGAGTCACAAACAGATATATAGCAGCTGTCCAGTAATCCCTGGATTCTGATGGTTCTCTAGCTGACGTCATTTCGTAACCAAAGTTGCCTTAGGTTCTAGTAGGAAAGTTGTGATCAATTGAGTTCACAAACTTGAGCGTGAGAACAGATACTCACCGATTACATGCTAGATTTGTTGCTGACTGGGTGACACTGGAGCTCAAAGACCACTGGATTGGATCCAAAGAATTGAACTCGCCTCGTAACCTGAAGAACCTAGGTTCAACCCCTAGTGAGTAAGGTTGTTCATGACAGAGTAGTTCTGGAAAATCCTGAATAAGGACAAAATAGCTCTGCAGTACTACCTAGATTTCAATGGTTCTTTAACTGATGGTGATGCTCAGTAGCGTCTAACAAACAATTATTTTTTCCGCATTTAGCATAAGACTGACAAAGTTTATGATCCAAATTTGAAAAATGATAATTTCCGAATTTAGATAGAGTGATAAGAAGACGTGATTTATCTGAATCGTTTAATGTGTGGTTGCGCAACACATTTCGAACAATCTGATAACACACGAACCTTTCACAGGAATATATATGAAATTAAAAAAGAGTTAAGAGATGAAAAAATGGACTTAGGACAAGTTATGAGGACACATTGAGGGTATCCTAAATTTTTGTGGAAGCTCTAGCTGGCAATGAAAAAGTTTAAACCATCTTTATGCGTTGAAAGCAACAATCCGTCATCATCACACTAAACCACGTTCCTTGGTAAAATTTGTTTTGATACACACCAGAGTAGATGAACTATTACCTCCGTTATTTGGATTAGTGATCTTCATTGTTATTTTGACCTTCAGTAGGTCCTTTTAACTTTACCTAAGTCTACTTTCTCACCTCTTTACTCTTTATTAATTTCACATATACACATTCCTATGACAAGTCCGTGTATGATCAGATTGTTCGAAATGCTTGTTGCACAAATGCACATTACACGATTCAGATAGACAACTTACGTCTTCTTATTGCTTTATCTAAATTCATAATGGGATCTAATTGTTTTAAATTCTGAATTCTTCTCTTAGTGTCTAACGGCATACCAGCTGAAGTCAGTTATTGACTGTTGGCAGAGTCTTGAAGTATGAGATTTGTCTTATTCAGCGATCTTGACAGTGACTGACAGAAATAAGAACTCGGCAATTAACACTGATTCACATTAACTTCCCTTCGCCTATTCCTTAACAAGCTCCCGTATCATATGTATTTTTTTAATTGGTTATCTTCAAGGTTGAAAAGATTACAAACTATCTAAGAAAAAGTTTAAAGGGCCATTTAAAACAAATTCCATGGATGGATGAACAAACAAAGAAAGATGTTGACGACAGAGTAAGTTATTTTTATTGACAGACTTTTCCTGGATTTTTTTGCGTAAAACTATATACTACTAAATAATCAGCATAAGCAAGTATATGTATCAATCATACCAACAAGTAGTGCTTGCTAGCTGAGCAGTTAGAAGTGACCTACACGCCAGAAAGCCATTCCTCTCGCTTGAAGTTAAGGTCGTCAGCGGTGTGCCTAATGTGACTCAGCTGAATCAATTCAAACCATCCAATTTCCGGCTAGCCAGCTATTTGAGAAAACTGGCAATTTGCGATCTACACAGTTCGATGAGGCAGAATTTAACCAATACGGTTTGCTTTGGAGACTGAAATTATTCACACCACAGTGTGGTGAGAGCAGTTTGTTAGCCAAAATTGGTAGACAGCAATTCACGTCACTGTTTACCTCCCAAATAAGGGTCATGAGAAAATAAACAAGAACAAAGACTAACTCAACAACCAATCACACAGCAGACTTTGCTTGGGCGGATACGATTCGTAGATATGTGGTCTGACCTTCAAAGAAACGGCCACAAAGAGATGACAGATTAAATTAAAGCGAGAAAACAACCAATCGACCAGCATGAATGGGAGGAACCTGAAAGAAACAACCTCTTTCACCTACCTGGGAAGCATCGTCTCAACTACAGGCGGAACTGACTAGGATATCAAAACCAGAATCGGAAGAGCAAGACACGCTTTCATTACTTTTAAGTCTGTGTGGAGGTCAACAGCACTCAGCATCAAAAATAAGATCCGGATTTTCAACTCCAATGTGAAGTCAGTGCTACTTACCATACGGATCAGAGACTTGGTGCGTCATAAAGAGCATCTCAAACAAACTTCAGACCTTCATCAACGGTTGTCTTCGCTAAATAGTCAAGACCAGATGGCAATGAGTGAACCAACATGGCAGGAACTGATTGTGAAACAAATAAGCAGGCAGAAATGGAGATGGATTGGCCATACTCTGAGGAAACCAGCAAGTGACATCTCTAGACAAGCCCTCGAGTGGAACCTGAAAGGAAAGAGGTGAGTTTCTCGTCAGTGCAAGGGTGACGTGGAGGAGGTCATGTGAAGAGGAGATGGAAACGTGTGAGCAGATTTGGAGGCAGGTGAAAACTCTAGCAGAGAACTGAATGCAATGAAGACGTGTGGCTGAAGCTATATGTTCCTCTAGGAATTAAAGAAAATAATAATAATTATTACCTAGGCAGTTTGATAAGTCAGTAACAACTAGTTTATTATTATTATCGATCGCCAGAGTTCCAAGTGGAACAAAGAGCTTCAACAGCAAACCTCTACTTCATCCTTTTCTCTGCTATCCCCATTAGACGGCTCCACTCGTTATCAGCTCTTCTATCCCCCTCACATCATCTCCTAAAAGTCACTTTCGGAGCAACCCACACCTTATCATGTCTTATCTATGTTCCACTCGAGAGATGATTTGGTGAGCCATCTCAGTCAACAGTCTACTTAGAGTGTGTCCGATCCATCTATGTTTTTTAAAAATTTTCGTTAAGTAACCGATTCTTGGTTAGTTTGTTGACTGCCAAGGTTCCTTGCTGCTAATCCTTACTCATCATCTTGTTGGAAATGCTTTTCGTGACCCTCCAACTCTTTGACTCATATAAAGAAAGTGACTGACTCCCCTTTGAAAACAAGAATTTGCTTTCAGTCGTTTTATTTTGCAACAAACTGCATTACTCCGTACTAAGCCGTACCGAAACAATTTACCCCAACTAAATGTAAGTTTGGGCATTGGTGGTTAAGAGTTAGAATTCTTGTTAACCACGCTAGAGGTGGTCCGAGATTCGATCTTTAGCTAGTGCACCCTTAAACCTCACCTGCCCGGGGTACTAGGCCCTGCAAAGAGTGAAGGTTGAGCGTGAGGCTATCAACTGTACCTCATCGAGAAGTAACACTACTACTCAAACTTCACAACAAAAGCTAGAAGCTCCATGTTTCTGTCAGAAAGCAAAGGAATAAAATATAAAAGTGTGAGTTCCTGCAACAAAACGATTGCGCAACTTGTTCTAACTTACCAACTCTGTATTGGTGGACAGATTAAATTCCACCTAAACCAGTTTATTTATTAATTTTTTGATTACTTGTAAGTTGCGTCTGTTGATTTTACTTTTTTTCTCGTTTATCTTTAAGATAACTAAAATGAAAATTCTATTCAAAGTACCCGAAATTATGCGTAATGACAAAAAGTTGAATTATGCATACAGAACGGTGAGTTTTCAATCTTTAATTTATTGATTTATTCATCTATAAATACTTCTTTCCATAATTTACGCGTTCTCAAATTTATTTCAAAAACATTTTATGCTTAAAGAATTGATAATCATGTTAATCAAAATAAACAAGTTGGATAAGATTCACAACTTAATAAACAGCGTTTTCAATGACAAAATCGAATTCACAAGAGAAGAGGAATCCGAGTATAAAATCCCATTTTTGGACGTTTTAGTCAAGCAAACAACGACAGAGGAAATTAGAAACTCAAGTTTGCAGAAAATCAACGCACACAGATCAAATACTAAATTACAACGGCAACAAACCAATAACTCACAAAAAATGTTGCATACGAAGATTATTCAGGGGAGCCAGGACTCAATTTAGCACTCTCGCCTTGAGGAAAATTGAAGAAAAGTATCTTATGGCTGTCTTCCAGAAAAAAGTGGATATCCAAGAATCTTCATCAAAATAAAATCGCCCTAGCATTTATAAATGACATCTCAGAAATCACTGCAAGATTCTTCAAACATCAAAGAATTGATGTCACACACGAATCAACAAAACCACTCCACTTAGCTGGCTCTCTGTCAACCGAAAGACTCAACAATGAAAGAAGATAAAACCAAAATCATTAAATCACGGAACATACACATTGGGTCATAGGAGTAAATAAGAAGACAGTTGCAGCGAAGAAAATTTTCTTTTCGACGAAGTCATCATCTAGGCTGTACATTCGTGTATTTATATCAAATGGATGGGAAAGTTCCAGAATAATATCCGGTCAAGGGTCAAATTAATAAAAATCAAAATTGGGAATTAGAATGCCATAATAAACAGGGGGATGGATAAAACAAACAAAATAGCATTAAAATAACTAAGAAGACTGACATTGTGCAATTAGGGGTTAGAAATGTAGAAATAACAAAATAGACAGGATGTTTGGATAAAAATTAATGTGATGAATAATTATTTATGCAATCAGGGATTAAATATGTAGAAATAGTAAAATGACAAAATAAACACTAAGTTCGGGTAAGAAAATATGGTAGTGTAAACAGGGATTAAGAAAAACTTGAAATAACATGAATAAACAGGAAGTTTAGATAAGAAAGGAGATGGGATGGTGATTACTAAAAATTACCTGTTTATGATGGCAATGGCAAGTACAGGGGTTGGACGTATTTCTTTTGTATACAAAGCGTGGGTTTGAGCTTTTGTATAGCTAGCGCCTCGGCTATGCCCAGATGTCTTGATTTTACTCCCTTTGATGGGTTTGATCGAATCTTGTAAATGATTTTGAAGGATTTTTCGAGTGGCGCTGAATGTCCTGAATTCACCAGGTGTTCTGTCACCGAACTATTTACCCGTTTTCGTTCTCCTTTTACTAGCCAGGCTGGATAGTGTTCACGAGCGCGTTTTTCAAGTCGGCGCATGGTACGGCCAACGTACTCAGCTCCACAAGAGCAAGTAAACTGGTATATGCACGTTGAGGTGGCCCAATGCAACAGCTTGTCTTTCGCGTTCTGGCTGAACAGTTTCTTGCGGGAAAACGTCAGTCGTAGGCTAGCGGCGAAGTATGTTTTCCTCAGCGATTTTGAGAGGCGTCTGCGAAGGATTTCTGCTTCAATCTCACCTTTGAATTCTAGATTAAGCAGAAGCATTTTCTTTGGGACGGATAAGTTGCAATTACTACGAAAGACACTACATTGGTCAAAGTGGACGTCGTCTTCCTCTTCGTATCCATGAACATAAGCCAGCTGTCAAAAGACCCGATATCCACTCACTCCTATCACTACATACAGACAACCACGGACACCAGTTCGACTGTGACAACCAGCGTTCAAATATTAGACAGAGGAAACGCCGAGAACGCTAGAGAATGTTTAGAAGCCAGCCTGGTATTTCAGTGAATTGTCAATCAATAAACACATCGAGATAGACAAAATTCATCAATCGATAAGAAGGAAGTCTCGCACACAAAGGGTCAAAGTTCAAGTCAAGGAAACAATCAGCACCAATACCAATACAAGTAGCTGATGAGAGGGTTTGAAAACACACAAAGTCGTGGGGAAATCTAAAAACTCACTTCAATTCAAATTGAAGTATACGCTGACGGAAGATGTTGCCTAGTGTTGGGGCAATGAAAGCTTGGCAAATTAACTATCCAGCTAGCTGAGAGAACACAACCACATCAAAAGGACAGTAGAGGATTTCCAGACCTACGTCAAAGTGATGAATATCTGTTTGACCTTTGCAATTCTGGCTTTGACGTTTTCATCCCTTCAACCTGTTATTGAAGCGACGCCTCCTAGATAAGTGAAGGAAGTATACTTAATAATATTTCAGTTAACACTTGTTGTTATCCAAGCAGTCAGATGGTTTATTTTATCAAAACAATTCCTAAAAAACATCTTATCACAAGCAATTAAGGCTTTCACCACGTGAGTAGTCAATTGCGCCTCCATGATGCTTACTGAAAGCTGCATACACAGAGTAACAGTGCTGTATATCCTACTGTATGGAAAAGAAAAGTCATCAAAAACTCAACAACCTTCAAATCAATGAAACCTCATATAGACAATGTGTTACTGAAAACTCAAAGAAGACATTTTATTGGGAATTACCACAAGAATTCTCGGGTCATTAAGTACCAGTCCAAGCAGCTGGACCGTAGAGAAGCTCATCTTGTAACTTGAAATACCAGAATTCTGTTTCTCTTTAGATTGTGTGCGTGTGTGCTAATGAAGAGTCTAAAAAAGAGGACGAAATAGCTATCTAGTGCTGTCTGGCGTTAAAGAGCTGTCCAACTGATATTGGAATTGTGACAAGATCTATACACAGCAACTTTGATGTTTCTTTCAAAAAAATGAACCCATACCATTCGCTTCTAACGATATTCAAGTTTGTTGCACATTCCATCAGAATACGATGTATCTCAGTACTGTATCAATTAGCCCACTGCCGAGACAACAAAGACGAAGAATATTGTGGTTTTCAATTAGATCTTCTTCAGGATTTACTCTAATTTACCTAGCTATATATTATAAAAGTGTTGAACCAGTAACGGGGAGTCTTGTATCCAATAATAAGTGTTTTGACTAATAAGATTTTCATCAGCTACAGCGATGATTATAATGATAACAAAAATAATGATAATAAGAAGTTTATGCAGGTGGTGGTAAGAATAACGAAGGTAGTAATATGTGCATATGTAGACAATTCAATGAATAAACTAGGTCAAGTATCAATAACTAATCCCTACAAACCAAACTATAGAAAGTTAATCTGATGCTCGCTAGTGACTTGCTACAGGTTGGAGTTTCCTGAGTTCTAGTGAGAAGTCGTGACCAGTGAGGTCCAATTAGATGTCACGTGTGTGGATGGATGTCCCACCAACGACAATGGTTGGGGTCGCGCTAAATCACGAATTAGTAGAAGTTAGAATTCACGAGCCATTGAATCGGGTCCCAGTGGCTGAATGGTATACGAGCTTGCCTTGTAACCGGAAGGTCCCGGGTTCGAATCCCAGTGGGTGCGTACTGCCGATGATTCCCAAACTAGGATGAAACAGCAGCTGTCCAGTACTCCCTGGTTTTCAATGGTTCTGTAACTGATATCAATCCCTGATCAACCTGTAAAACATAACTAATCCTTACAAACCAAACTATAGTAAGTAATAATAAATTTGTAAAACTTAAACCTGTAGGAGTAAGTAATTCCATATTAACCATATTAGTTCCATATTAGTTTTCCAAGTGTTGGTTTGTAGGGATTTGATTGGTTACAGGATTTTATCATGAGCTGACATTGGTTAGAGAACCATTGGAAAACCTGGGAGTACTGGACAGCTGTTTCGCCCTAGTTTGGGACTATTCAGTAGTACGCACCCAGCGGGAATCGAACCCAGGCCCCTCTGGCTACAAGGCGAGCTCGTATACCATTTTGCCACTGGGACCGGATCCAATGGCCCATGCAGCAGGTCGGGTGTGAGGACAAATACTAGCCGAAGACATTGGCTATGGGTCACGCTATGTCATGAATTGGCAGAAGTTAGAATTCATGGGCCATTGGATCGGGTCCCAGTGGCTTGATGGTATACGAGCTCGCCATGTAACCAGAAGGGCCTGGGTTTGAATCCCGCTGGGTGCGTACTGTTGAGTGGTCCCAAACTAGGACGAAACAGCTGTCCAGTACTCCCAGCTAGTTTTCTAATGGTTCTCTAACCAATGTCAGCTCATGATGAAATCGATATTAGTTTGTTTATTAGATGTATCACACAGTGAAACTGGATGACACCGTTTAGAACATAATTTATTGTTCATAATCTTATCAATTATAATCACATGACTACGAAACTTGACTTTTAAAGTCTTCTTTGTTCTCTCCTATTTGTTGTCGTTAGGGCAGTAGAATTTTCAAGATCTCCAAATGGACAGGTGTTGAATCATTCCTATTACATGTATTTGAAGTTGATCCGATAAACAAAACTTCTGTTTGCGCAACACATTTCGAACAATCTGATCACACACGGACTTGTCATAGAAATATATATGAAATTAATAAAACTTCTGTTATCAATCTCACCCTCTACCCTGTGACATTAGATTTTAAAACTGTCATCCTATCCCATCCTAATGTATGGTTGTGTGTAACTGCATATCGTGCTATAGCTGAACTATTCTCTAGACTTCTTATCTTATTCAGGTCAACTAATCTAGACTTTGCTAGGTTTTTATGTTCGGCTATTCTGACTGCTCTAAACTACTTTGACCCATGTACCTGACCTGACAATTATTGCAGGCAGGGTATTAGATAAACTCAATTGTTTTGTTTTATTGGCTCCACAGGATTGATCCTTTAACCGACAAAGCTTGTTTCCGAATGAGTTTGTGGGTGGTCTGAATGCCAGCCACTTTTATTCCTGCCTTGTTAGGTCAAGCCTTGAAAGTTACGTAATACTGAAGGTGAAGTGGAAAGATAATCTGAGTTTAAATAAATATTATAAAAGAACGAAAGAAATGGAAAATAAGGAAGGGTGGGGGGTTTTTAATTTAGACCCTACCTAGGCCAAGGGAGAATTAAAGGAAAAACAAACTTTTTTGTGAAGAAAGACGCTAGGGTTGTCCTCTCGGATTCCCATAGTTCCGGCTATCTCTAAAAGGCAAGGTCGAATTCCACTCGAAAGATTCGATGGAATGCGACAGATAATTTTAAAGGTACTTCTTCTCTTCACTTCATGACATCTATCATCGACCAAATGAGATAAAATAGAACTTCTTATCAATTTCTCTTGACCTTTTCCGGACTTTTCAAGACTATCGATCTTAATCAGTTAAACTATTCAACTGGTGGATGGTGACTAGCAGCGGAATCCAAGATACGCATTTCGTCCTATTTGAAACTAGTCAGCTAGTGGATGAACCTGCATTTTCCGGTGAGTGAAGATGTTTCCACCACCGAGGCTCGAACCCAGTGCCCATAGTTTGAAACATCGAAGCGTTGCTCACTAGACCACTTGGGCCACGAAATCCACCTCGTGTGCAACAGGTCATATTAATTATTTAATTGAGTTTTAGATTTTCCTGTCGATTGATTGAACCGAAGAGCTCGGTCTCAGGTTGACATGTCGGCTTCTTATGCATATTCTTCGACGGTGTCTGAGCATGCGATTAGAATTTAACTGGTGGATGGCGACTAGCAGCAGAATCCAGAACAACGTGCATTTCGTCCTATTTGGGACTCGTCAGTTGGATAGTGCCTCTCGTGGCGGAAGTGGTGTAGTAGATAACGCTTTGGCGTTTCAAACTATGGGCACTGGATTCGAGCCTCGGTGGTGGGAACCTCATCACTCACTGAGGAATGCAGGTACACCCACTAGCTGACGAGTCCCAAATAGGACGAAACGCGCGTTGTCATGGATTCCCACTGCTAATCACCATCCACCATTTAAATTTAAAATACATGCCAAGACATCATCAAAGCATCTTTACAAGGAGCCGAGCACTTGGGTCCAATCAATTGGCAGGAAAATCTAAAATTCAATGAAATAATTAAACTGGGTTTCGATCTTCGGCCAGTGACGCACTCCTCCTAAACCTTGCTAAGCCAGTAATAAATCTGTTTAAGGGGAAAGGTTAGGCATGAGGCTAGCAATTCCGTTCTGTAAAAATAAATGCCCTAGCTATCGAAATTTCAAGAGTTCTAGCTTGAAGCAGCCTACGTTCCACTGTTAACGCAAACGAATACAAAAAAGTACATATTATCACTTTTTTCATTAAATCCTATAATTATTCTAAATTATTCTGCATATATGTATTTATAACACTTCCATTTGTCCCTTTTTCAGCTTAAAACTTCCTACAATTATCTAAATAATTTATTCTCAGCTGTTCAATACATTCGTGGAGTTTATAATCGTTTATTATCTGGTGTGACTGAAACTAGTGAAGAGAATTGGAGTTCTAGAGATATTATGGCCTATGATACACATGTCGCACTACATTTACAACTCGATGAAGTCTTTATCCCACCTGGAATGCTTCAACTGCCTATTTATCATCATAATTTACCAGCTGCATTTAATTTTGGTGGAATGGGAAGTTTAATTGGTACAGCTATTGGTATATTAGTTGGAGAATATGGTAAGTGATAAATAACATTGGATGGCATGCTTAGATCCAAATTTGACTACTGTTCGACTATCTACAGAGTCTAATGAAACGAATTTAAGTGTTGGTTTGAAGGGATTTGATTGATTGGTTAAAAGGATTTCATCATGAGCTGACATTGGCTAGAGAACCATTGGAAAAGCTTGGAGTACTGGACAGCTGTTTCGTCCTAGTGGCTTAATGGTCTACGAGCTCACCTTGTAACCAGAAGGTCCTGAGCTAGAGCCCTACAGTTGGTGAGTACTGCTTGAGAGTCCTAAATTGGGTTTCCAAGTGGTTCTCTAACCGCTGTCAGCTCATGATGAAATCCTGTAACGAATTGTATTTACTTGGTTATATTGTATTTTAACTGTCTAATTACGTTCTTGAAGAACAATCTGTACTCACTTGTGTATTTCGAGATAAATTTCACCACAACTAACTAAAATATCCTTGTGACAAGCACCGTTGCCAGATTTTCCCGCATCCCACTGACGATAGAAAGACGGTGGTTGTTTCTGATAAAATCTGCTCTACTGTATTTAGCAGTAATAACATAACAAGAACTCAAAATCCCCTCAACATTGCCGTTAAGCAGCTAAGCAGAACAGAAAATTTCCCAATGCAAAATAAGGACTGTAGAAAAATTATTTAACTAACATTCAGGCGTATTAAGTACCTCAGAATCAAACAGGAAGATTCCAAACAAGTTGGAATCAAAAAGCCTGTCAGCAAGAAATGTGCACCAAACAGTTCTCGTAGACTGTCGAAGGTGAGAATCACTTAGACTCTTTCAAAAGAAATTACCCAATCACAAAGAGAAACTTTCAAATTAGAGATTACACAAGAACAAAGATAAATAATTAAAAATTAATTCAGTGGGTGATATGAAAATGTCAGAATAATGATACATAGTCAAGAAGAATCGGAGATAGTAATCACAATACTAGGTGAAGCATCCAAATAAGTGTAAATATTGTGATAAGATTGTTGAAGGGGGATTTTCAGAACAGAATTGAGCATTTATAAGTTCGCGAACGAAATTGACTTTTATTATTATTGTTCCCTTGAGTTCAGAGTAGAATATAGGTCTTCAACAAAACATCTCAACTTTTTCCTATCTTCTGTTATCCCTTTCAGCTGCCTCCAAGATTACCCATAATCGCTCATCTCCCCGTCACCCACACGATCTCTTTCATATCCCTTCGCACTAAAGCTCAACTCGTCTTCACTTCCCATCGGGATTTCACTCAGGCGATGGCCTGCTTTGAGCGCAATGTCATTCAACGGCCTCCTTAACGTATGAGCGATCCATCTCCATTTTTTCCTGCATATTTTTGAACGATCAGCCCATGGTTGGTTGATTCATTCTGGCCATTTTATCTTCAGAATGGAGCCAGTGAATGTGGGATCTGTTCCAAATCCTTTTCGTCACATGCATACCAAGTTTCTGTCTCATATAGAGGAACTCACTTGACATTGGTATTCAAAATGCGAATCTTATTGTTTATGTCAAGGGGGAGTGCATAAAATTTCCAAACTTGTTTCAGGTTGATGAAGGCCTGCGTATCTTAACTTTCCGATTCCAACTGACTTTGACAACTTCATCCGTTTCGCCTGTGTTTGAAAAGATGCTCCCTAGATAGGTGAAGGAGGTGGCCTCTGTTAAATCTCTCCTGTTGATGGTGATTGGTGTTGGTCAAATTTGTCAATGTACCATTGATTTCTTCATTATTGTGAACAGTTAAAAACGATTAAGCCAAAAAAGCAAAGAAATGCAGAATTACAAATTAGAATAAAAATCATAAAAGTGAAGTAGGGCAGTTAGGTAGTTGCTTCACTTTTCAACATATGTACACAGAGAGACACAAATATCAAACCTGCCTAGGACTATGAACACTGCTATGCGCGTAAACAACGAAAATATGCAGCAATGTGTGTATGATGACGAAAATCCCGGCGTGAGTTACTCACTAGAGTAAACAATACCATCTGAGGTCATATTTTAATGAAAGGAGGTTTATTCCACGTAGGCCGCCGTGAAGATAATAGTATTAAAGTGATAAATAATTGTGCGCCGGTGGCACAACGATAAAATCCTCGTCAACCACACATGTGGTTCAAGTTTCGATCCTCGGCCACTAAGCCAGTAATAAAGTTGGTAAACAGAGAGGTTTGGTCTGGAGATGACACTGGCAACCTCATCCTGTAAAACTTAACATCACTGCTATCGAAACTTCAAGCCTGTAGCTTGAAGGCGCCCTATGTTCAAAACACCTTTAAAACTATCCCACTCCCGAAGTCGGAATTCAAACGCCTAACGCTTATGTGTACTATGGTTGTGCTATTCCAATTTGACAACCCTCTTTACCGCCAAATAAATGGTGTTGCTATGGGCAGTCCACTTAGCCCTGTTTTAGCAGATATATTCATGTCCACCCTTGAAAGAACAAAGTTAACGAAACAGCTTCCTATTATCGATATGTCGATGACACATCAGTAGTGCGCAACAATGAAAATCATGCTTCACACTTACTCAGATTATTTAATGAAGCACATACCAATATTGAGTTTACTATGGAACATGAAAATGATGGACAGTTCCACTTCCTCGACATTGCCATGCAAAGTCTAGAGGACGGAAGAATTCAGAAGTAAATTTATCGACAACCTACTTGGAAAAACAATAATTACATTTTAATACTTTTTGTCCAAATAGCTTTAAACGCGGACCAGTCAAGACTATGTACTATAGAGAGAGGAAAATATGCTCTATAGAGAAATTAGAGGAAGAATTTATGTTTCTTGAAAAGATGTTGAAGAACAAGGGTTATCCTCAAATGTTCATTAACAAGTATAGAAGACCTGAAGTCTAAAATGTAAAATAAATTACAGTGGAGAAAAAGCCCGTCTACATTCAACTTGATTTCAAAGGCGAAATTTACATGTATCTGCGGGAGCAGTTACATTGGAAGAACACAAAGAAGGTCATATCTACGATTTTCTGAACATGTACCAAAAAAGTTTATATCTAAAGGGAACAAATACTTTAAACTCTGCCATCGCCAGGCATCTCGTTGACACCGGTCATGACGTGGATGTCGTTCAAAATTATCAATAGGCAAAGGAGTTGAATTCTCCTCACGTTTGCTGAAGCCATCTCCATCAAGTGCCCAAAAACCCGATTTATGCGTCGAGAAAGAAGCGGTTATCAGTATTTTTTTGCCTTGATAACTGGATATTTTCACCCCTTTTTCATCTGATTACGTAACGCCGAAAGTTTCCATTGTGTATGATCATTATTGTTCGGAATAGTGCTTAATATTACATATGTACACATATTATTACTGTGTGCATCTATTGACTGATTGATTGATTGAGTTTTGTTTAAAATGGACTCTGTGCAACTATGTTAAAATTGTTTCTGTAGATATATTTAATAATAACTTTGACCTGTAAACAACTGCTGTGAGAGAAGGCAACGAAATAAACAGTAATAGTACCACTTTATTCTGCAACAGCCACTGTTCTGTTCTCGCTTTATTCAAATAATCGATAATTCTTTGTCTAATTTCTTTTTAATTTCAAAGGGGCATATATGCGTAAAAATGGAGAAATTCAAGCAGTCTGGTCATCTGATACAATTCGTATGTATAAAGAACAGAAAAAGTGTGTTCATGATCAAGTCTATAATGCATCAAAGTATTATTTTAATTTCTCTGATTTGGTAAGCATAATTTATATTTATATTTATATTGTGTATTTTTAAGCAGAGAAATTACACATATGATGTAATTACTGGTAGCTGAGTGTATGTAGGCCTGAGTCAATTGATGATGTTATGAAACTGTACTGATTGCTGATCCACTACCCTCTACCTCCCTTGTAGAACAATTAGACTGAATAGGAGGTAGAGTTAGTCATCTGCTTTTGACTCGGTCCCTAGGTAGGGACGTCTTATTAAATAAACTTGCTGAAAGTCAAGTAAAATGTTGGCCTGTTAACTGTTTACATTCCTGTCTCTCAGGAAGAAAGCAGTACACCATGTACAAAAGGATGTCTTCCACTTCATTGCCTACTGAAGCTGGTGTATCTCAAGGCGCTGTCCTTTCTCCTTTTCTTTTTTCTTTCTTCTTACATGACTTGCTTCACTTTGTGAAGTACGCTGATGATTTAACAGTTTCAATGGCTGTTAACTTCTAGGTAGTTTGTACCAAAATAAATAGCTTTCTATCGGGAGTCAGTAAATGGTCTGAGTCTAACGGTCTTAAACTGAATACTTCTAAATTTCAAACTGTTAATTTCAGCTTAAGATGTGAAAGAAAGCTTAAGAAAGTCGTCGATTCTCATGACAGTTTTAAGATTGACGACAATGATATAGGAATCAAATCAGAAATTAAGTATCTTGGACTCATTCTCTCTTCTGATCTCTCCTGGTCTTCCCATGTCTTAGCAATCTCCAGTAAAATATTCCGCCTGACATTTTACATTAAGAAGTTAAGACACTCGGGTATAACTCAACCCCTCATCCTACAGTTCGTAAACTCTTGCATCCTACCTATTCTTCTTTATTGTTCACCCTTACTTATTCTTTCCTGGTTTGCTTAAAAAAGACTATGTCACAATACGTAGAATGCTGAAGACGGTCAGTAGGGTGAGTGGTGTCCCGGTGGACCGCATAGTTAATGTTGTTATCGATAGGCACTTGACTTCGTGCAATAAATTTGCTTAAAGGATTTTGTCTGAATTCGAGCATCCGCTTTACCCTCAGCTTTCACCTTGCATCTCCTCAGGTAGAACAAGAAGTAACTTCAGAAAACTGTATTCTGTATGATACTATACTTGGCACGTATTTTATGTGATGAAAATAGTGTCAGCCAAGAATTAACTAACCTTTTTTCATCTAGTAAATAAACAATTTCCTCCATTCATCCTTATATACCTTCAAGTTTTACTTTTATTATTTCTATTATATTTATGGTCCTGTTGCTTCTTTGTTTGTTCTACTTTCGTAATTGCAAACACCAACTTATCTCTATGACTGCTGTAATCCTTGTTTTTCCCCTCACCATATCATTTAAAAAGAACATTATATTCAATATTTTTAAACATGCTAGGATTTCGATACCGCATCGATAATACTGTGTGAAACAAGCCACGGCAATTTTCACTTGTATTCTTATTATTACTACCTTAGCTGTTATCATTATTATAATTGTTCCCATTTTATATGCTGCATGTTTTTGACACTACCTTTATTGTAAGTGTGGAAAATTTTCTGTGTGATTAATTTTATTTATAATTTGAGTAAATTAGATGCAATATTGTGATTAATGCTGAAAATTCCATTCTATATCACAAGTACTGTTTTTGGAATAAAGTGAATCGTTATTATTATTATTAAAAACATTTAAAACAAGCAGCAATTTTGAAAAAATGGTAGTATTTAATGAACTCATAAATTTTTTTAGAAAGACTCATCAGCTGAACAATCCTTTTAACAACGAATTTATTATCAAGCTGTACAATCGTATATACACAAAATGGTTCTTTAAGAAGCTATATCCGGTGAGGAAATTGAATCATAGATGTGAATGCATAAAATAGTATTCAACCATAGTCTTGAACTGCCCTCTACTTGCTTGTGTGTAAATTCTTCAAAACCTTGTTAGATGTATTCAGGATTATTTAGAGTTCTGAATGCCTGGTTAGAAGAATTTTATCGATATTTTTTATTACAACTTGATTCCACACTGTATTTTCGGTACAAGTATAGAAATTTCAGCATGGATATCGGTTGCCCAAATTTCGCAGGCCAACCATTGATATAAGGTGTGCGTCAGCAGGGGATCGAACCTCGGCCATGTACACGGTGGGCGAGAGTCCTAACCACTGTACCATGGACGTATTCTAAGGCGCTTGACATTCTTGAATTCCAGTTTATATGGTAACATAATAACAGCACTGGTCATGTTTTGAAAATCCAGCCAGGTTGGTCTTAGGCAGCCATAAGGGTGAAAAAGAAGGGAGATTGGACCAAAACCCCACTACAGAAAATCAACCCACTCTCTACACAACCTTCAAACCACCGAGGAATCCTTGAATCTCCCTTCCGAAAGTGAAATAGAAAGTACTGCTTGAGGAGGAAGTAAAATATCATTAGCGGTCATTGAACCAGCTTAAAACATTCTCGAGGCAGAGTGTGAAAAACAGGCTGTCACACTGAGCCACGTGAGTATGTGGATGCCAGTTCAGTTGCTCTTGCAAGGCTGAGTACATTTCTAACGACAGGAGACAATGGCCAGGCAACACATCGTTTATTGAGAAAATCAAAAAATATTTATAGATTTTTATGTACATTATTGTCAGCGGAGAAGCAGTGTCTTCCGATTGGTTGTTTTCTCGCTGAAAGTTATTCTGTACTGCGTGTGACGGTTTCTCACAAAGTTAAGCCATATATCTGCGAATCGTATTCGTACACGTTAAGTCTGCTCTGACTGGTTGTTGAGTTCCTGAATGTTAAGCTTTGTTATTGTTTTTTCTCATGACCCGGATTCGGGACATAACATTGACGTAAATTGCTGTCTACAATTTTTGGCTTACAGCCAGCTCTCACTACACACTGACAGTGTCGTACGTCCACCAGTAAAATGCCCTTGGGAACACTAACCAGCCTGGAATTCCTTCAGAATTAAACATCTCAAAGGAAGTGTGATGAAGACATCTTTGCATAGCTGAGGCAAAAATGATCCCAAAGTTCAAGCCCACGTTGTGCATTGAAACGATACATACAACCTTTTTCTTTACCATGGCCGTCGTAAATAGTCAATTTTCCTAAATAGTGATTAACCTATTATGTATCTTATCCAAACTTCTTGTTTACTTGTATTATTTTTAAGTTTTTTAATCTCTACTTACACGACTATGTTTTTTAACCGGATTTCCTGTCTATTTTGTCATTAATACGTTTTCAACACCTATCTGTTATCTTGTTAATTTCACTATCAACCGGAACAGTTTCGGAAATTTCTCAACCATGTACTATATATAGTTGCTGACCTCGTCGATAAGAAAATATTCTTCCCTCTGACTGTCATTTTCATTTTTCTCATTAGCTAAAAAGAGACTACAGAGAACACAGTGAAAGCGTTCCATTGGGAACCCAAGGGAATAATATTTTTAAACCTCTACATAAATGCCCACATAATATAAAATCATTAGAAGCAGAGGGATATTTAAACATGAAAATATGCATAACTTCTTTTAAACAACCTCGAAAGTATTTCTACTTTGTTGATTTGCTTAAATTTTCTTCTGTTCTCTCTCTCTCTTTCCCTGTCTAACAGATGATGGCGACAATCGAAGACGATATGAAGAGGGTAACACGTGCAACTATACATGAAGCATCCGGGCTAGATATAGCCAGATATGTAAGTATCTCTTGATATATAGGATTACTGATAATAGATAGTTGGAAGCGATTGGTAGGATGCCTTTCTTGACCTAGTTTGCGTGCTAGTTGGTCATTGACCAGTCAGTCAGCAAGGTATATCTGCAATCTTGAAGGAACTCATATCCCTTCTTCTGAAATTTGAACCCATGTCACCCAGTGTACTGCAGGTATTAGAGACATTAACACTGAGGTAATTGGGCTCACCTATTGACCTTCTATAAGACTGACTATTTTGGATAGTTGGACTGGACACTAGTCAGTAACCAGTGCGAACTTATGTATAGAGCACGGATGAAAATGCTGGGATGACCTCACTTTTTGCCATGGGCTTCATCATGAATGTAGTGTTGATGATAAATTTTAAGGAATTACTTGTCTTTCATTAACTGAAGAATAGGTTGAAGACATTACCAATGTGTTTTCTTAAGTTAACCAATTAAATGATGTCATTTCAATTCATATCTATGATAAATTGGATAGAGACAGAAGCAATCAATAGATTGGCGGCTTGCTTAAACCACTTGGTCAGTCAAATTTCCGTCCAGCATAATGCATTTACTTTTCTGAGTATCTTGTTGGAGCAGTGCTATTTTTCCAATGATGTGCTTCGATTGTAATATGAACTCAAGCAAATTTTTATCTGGATAGCAACCGATTCTCCTACACTTTCCATTTACTTCACGTTTGGTTACAAATTGGCATCAGTTAAAGAACCATTGGGGATCCTAGGAGTATTGGACAGCTGTTGGATGTGTCCTATTGAAGAATCCCAAACTAGGGCAAAACAGCTGTCCAGTACTCCCGGGTTTCCCATGAATTCTCTAACTGATTTCAACCAATAAGCAAGCAAATCCCTGCAAACCAAAACTCGATAATTAATCTGATGCTCACTAGCGACTGTTTATATGCAGGGGATGTTACCTGGAGTTTCAATGAGAAGTCGTTAGTAGCAGGATCCTGCAAAAGGACCATTACACGCCCGATACATTGGCTGGTAATTGCACTATAAATATATATGCTTCACGAATCAAAAGTCGGAATTCATGGGCTGGACATTGAATCGGGTCCCCTTTGGCTAAATGGTTTAGAGCTAGCCTTGTAACCAGGAAGGGTCCTGGATTCGTACCCTGACGGTGGATACGTGCTGTCGATGAGTCTCAAATTGTGAAGAAACAGCTTTCCAGTACTTTCTGGTGGTTTTCAGTAGTTCTGTAACTCATTTTTTAATCCGTGATCAAACTTGAAACTCGTTATTCGCTTTATAAAAAATTGTTCACAAAATTTATTAGTCCCAGATGGAAGCAGGGCTGTAGAAATCATAAGACAGGTAAGCAATTGAGACATCAGACAACAAGGGGATAATTATTCTAGGACAACATTGCAAAATGAAATTATGTTGAATTAAATTACTCGAGGTGACAAGTAAGGTAATACAGGAAATTAGTGAAAGTGAAATTTATAATAAATGGGTAGGAAAGTTCCAGAATACTTTCTGGTCAAGGGTCAGATTAATAGAATTACAATCAGGAATTAAAATGCTACAATAATCAGACGGGGGATGGATAAAGCTCAGACAATGTAGGATCATAATTACTGAGAAAATTGACATTGATTGGGCAATTAGGGGTTAGAAATGTAGAAATAACAAAAGTAGACAGGATGCTTGGATAAAAAACTAATGTGATGAATAATTGTTTACGCAATCAAGGATTAAATATGTAGAAATAGTAGAAATAAACATAAAGTTCGGATATGAAAATATGGTAGTATAAATAGGGATTAAGAAAAATTTTAATATAACATGAATAAACAAGAAGTTTGGATAAGAAAGGTACTGGGATGGTAATTATGAGAAGAATTACCTGTTTATGATGGTCATGGCAGGCAGGGGAAAATGGTTGAACGTATTTCTTTTGGATACTTAGCGTAGGTTTGAGCTTTTGGATGACTAGTGCATCGGCTATGCCCAGATGTCTTAATTTTACTCCCTTTGATAGGTTTGATCGAATTTTGTGTATTATTTTGAAGGATTTTCTCGAATGGCGCTGAATGTCTTGAATTGACCAGATGTTCTGTCACTGAACTATATACATGTTTTCATTCTCCTTTGACTAGCCAGGCTGGATAGTGTTCCCGAGTGCGTTAAGTGAAACTAATCATAACGATAGACATTTGATAAGGGAAGGACATGCAAAATGAATAAACAAAACGAAAAATTGAATGGTACATAGCGTGAATAAGGAATGTTGTACTTTAGAGGAGACAGGTTAATACCACAAATGAAGTAATGGTTGAACAAACTTTCCACATAAACAGACATCTCTATTTCCTATTCCGATGACCCAATTTTCAGCAATACAGACTAGTAAGGTCCTTAATGATTTCGGCAGATTACTTTTCACTTCATAGATGACTTCGAAGGAGGGGAATGTGAAAGCAAGCTGATCAATATCGACTAGATGTTCAATTATTGTACTTCTTATAACCCGGCGTCTACTTCTTCGTAACCAGGCAGAACAGTGTTCTTGTAGAACGACTCATATACGTAGCTCCACAAGAGTAGATGAACTGATAAACGCACATGGAGTTGGTAAGCTGTAAGGTCTTGTCTTTCAGGCCGTTGAACAATAATGTTGGACTAGGAAACGCTATTTTCAACTATGCTGCTGTGAACTTCCTTTCTCAGGGACTGTAAGATCCTCTCTTTCAAAGATGTCGGCAGCTAAATCACCTTTGAATTCAAGGTTCATGTGCAGTATTTTCTCGGTTACAGACATTAAAACCATATTTCGTTGGTTCTAAATCTATGTGGGGATAAATCTATCTCCCACCGTTTTAGAAGACTTAACTCTTCCTCCACAACATCACGAATACATATGCACATATAACAAGTAATCGAATAGGGTAACATTTTCAATGAAATTCGTTAGCTGACCATTCCATAGCAGCTTTCTATGAACTGGTCTCATAAGTGCCCATTTCTCCTCACTGGTAACTTCACATTGACAGAATGACTGCTAGTCTCATTTATATCATACAGCTTGAGGATAAATTCGTTGAAAAGAGACACTTTACTGAATCACTTGTTTTGATTTAGACAGATATGAATAAACATATGTCCTGAATATTTCAAGCTTGACCTCTAAAGCTTCAGTAGCACCGCTTTTATTTCGCCCAGTGAGGTTCCTAGCCTCACACCTTCTCCCTTTACTAAGCTAACTACTGGCTTAAAGAAGTTTTAGGGGGTGTCTACTGGAGGTCTAACCCAGGATCACTTATGGCGGGGTTGGCGACCAATATATTGCTGAAACACTGACGAACGCACAGTACGATGAACGTTCCAATGAAGTTTCGTTCAAGATAATGTTAACTGTATTGTAGTAATTTATTGTAGTCGTAGTATTAGTATTTCAAGATGACCGAATTACAAGAATCCAAACAAAACACAGAGAGGGCGGAATTCAGGAATTTGTATTTAGCGGAATTATTATGCAATTCATATAAGAAACATATTAACAATCAACAGTAAGTATTTAAACAATACAGAGATAGAAATTGTCAATCACCACATCCGCCACACGTCGAATGTCTCCTTGCGTATTTATAACGATGTCTCGGTTTGCTTGCAAGTAGCTGCGACCTTCTAACTGATTCTGTGATATCATTTTCATCAGTATTATCTGGACTTATTTCTGAATTATCTACAAAATCAGGATTATTAGCGGAATCACTAAAATAATAATTGGAACGACCTACTTCATTTATTGTCACTTTGTCCAGGTGTCCGTTATGAACTGAGTGATCTTTGATGTCTAATATCTTCACCACTCGATTTCCCATTTTTTGTAGTATAATTCCAACAGAAGGTCTATAGTCATTCCCTTTGTAATAATGTACATTAGAAGTCGTGGACATCAGATGCTTTTTGAGAATTCGAGATTTGAAAAGTTTTGCAGGACTTTCACGGGTACTTGTATGCTCTGCATTCAACAGACGCAGTCTATGCATATGCAACAATTCCTCCATTTTAATCAGTTGCTCTCTCATCTCATTCAGGTCTTTTCGTGTTTTCGACAGTTCACATTGTAACTCAGCTACCTCATTTTTGAAAACAGTTGACACTTGAGTTGCCGAACTTGTAGTGGAGGTTTTCATTGGATGAGATTGAGTATTTTGAAAGGTTGAAAGACACATTGACTCCATTTTACTAGACAGCTTGGGAGAATTATAAGAATGTTGAGCAACATAAGTATTCGAACTTCTGCAAACAGTCTTGATGTGTCCAACTTTACCACATTTATGGCACTTAGCACCCCGAAAACGGCAAGTGCTTCGTAGATGTAACTTTCCACAGGATAAACACGGTTTAATGTTTTTGATCTCTCGCTGCATTCTATTACCTGTGGACGACAGTTTGGATTGCTTTCCATGACCACTTGTATTTTCGACTTTAGAAAGCATGACATCAGATACTGACGTAGTGGGAGCAGAGTATTCACTATTGACATCTTCATATGTAATACATACTTCTTTAGCAGTTTGAAACGTACAAGAAGGAATCTGAATTAACTCTTTCTCTAACTTAGGAATATTGATTCCAGCAATTAGACGATCACGTAGTTGAGTATGCAGCTGATCTCCAAAGTTACACTTTGAAGCTTGAATTTGAAGTTGAAGAATGAACTCTCGAATCTTCTGGTTGGGAGCACGAACCAGTTTGTTGAATTGAGCCCTCTCTCGCGTCTCAAAAGTAGTTATATGGAAGTGATCTATCAGAAGTTCACGGAGTTTATAATATGGCAGAGAAATTGGTTTATCTGGAAACGACAGAGTCTTTACTAGGCTATACGCATCTAGCCCAATAGCAGTGATGAAATGTGCTGGTATTTTGTCATCCCGAACATTCTTTGAAATGCACCACGCATCGAAGCATTCAAAATAATCAGCAATCTCCTACGGAGACCCATTAATAGGAAATTTTCCCAGGTTATTTAGTTCCATCGCGACGCCAATTTGTAGTAATTTATTGTTGTCGTAGTATTAGTATTTCAAGATGACCGAATTACAAGAATCCAAACAAAACACAGAGAGGGCGGAATTCAGGAATTTGTATTTAGCGGAATTATTATGCAATTCATATAAGAGACATATTAACAATCAACAGTAAGTATTGAAACAATACAGAGATAGAAATTGTCAATCACCACATGTATCCTAAAAGAGATTGTAATTAGATCTTCATACCAACCAAAGAGTTGATCCTTTGGTGATAATTTATTTTGTAAATCTTTCTTCTTTTTTAGGCTTTTGAAGACTGGATCAAGGATTCACCCGATGAAAAATATTTACGTCATTTACCCGGTGTCACATTCAATCCAAAACAGTTATTTTATTTAACATACGCACAAGTAAGAGATGCTATATGCTTTTACGAATTAACCACCACAAAAAATGTTGTGTATTCATTCTTCCTACTTATGAGTAGTGTAAGAGCAAGTAACTTCACTTTCAAACTGATTGATAAAATATCGAGAATTGTTAGAGTTAGAATTTCTTTGAATCGCATCCCAGTGGCTGATTGGTATACGAGCCTGTCTTGTAGCCTGAAATTCCTGGGTCCGACACATAGTGGGTCTCAGTGGTGCGTACCGACGAAGAGTCCCCAAAAAGGGATTAAATACTTGTAAACTACTTCGTGTCGGTTTTCAACGGCTCTCAAACTGAAGTTAGTCAGTTACGAGTCGTGGAAAACGAATTTTGAGGTTGCGAAATGAAGTTAACATCTAGTTATTCAACCATTCCACCTGACTGTAATAGTGGGTTGTTGGTGAAGAATGTAAATTCAATGAAGACAATCTACTTCAATCCGTACAGTCAAACTCACAATTTGGATTTCATATAGACCAGGGAGGTGAAATTCTCACCAGTACAATTCCCTTTGAATACCAAATTATCCATGCCCCATTATATAATCTATCTGATACCATAAATGCATATCAAGAAGGCAAGCATATTTGCAGAAATTTATGTACTACTTATCGAATGAGATGTTGAGTAGTTAGTTGTATACCACTTATCTCAACCCCTCGAAATGTTGGAAATTGAAAATTGTGGCTTTGATTTATGGTTTTACTAGTTTCTCCCCCCCCCATCAAGTAGCTGTCCAGAAGTCACGTGTGGTTTAAACTGATTTTAGCTCTCTGATCTGAGTCAAAGGCAAAGGCAGCAAATAAGACATCCTTTTTGATGTGGTTGTGTTCTCTCAGCTAACTGGATAGTTAATTTGCGAAGTTTTCATTGCCCCACCACTACGAGACATCTTCCGTCAGCACATACTTCAATTTGAATTGAAGTGAGCTTTAAGATTTCTCCACGCGTTTACTGGTCATCTCTCCTAGTGGCTGACCTTGAATGTCGTGATTAGTAGTTTTTGTGTGTTTTCACACCCTCTAGGCGGCTAATTGTATTGAAGCTGATTGTTTCTTTGGCTTGAACTTTGACCCTTTCTGTGTGAGAATTCTTTTTTATCAATTGATAAATTTTGTCCATATCAATGTGTCTATCAGCTGATGATTCACTGAAATACCAGACTGGCTTCTAAAAATTCTCCAGTATTCTTGTTGTTTCCTCTGTCTAATATTCGAGCGTTGTCCCACTTGTCCCAGTCAACCACGGACATCATTTCTACTGGGACAACCAACTTTCAAATATTAGACAGAGGAAACAACAAGAATGCTAGAGAATTTTTAGAAGCCAGTCTGGTATTTCAGTGAATCATCAGCTGATAGACACATTGATATGGACAAAATTTATCAACCGATAAAAAAGAATTCTCACACAGAAAGGGTCAAAGTTCAAGCCAAAGAAACAATCAGCTTCAATACAATTAGCCGCCTAGAGGGTGTGAAAACACACAAAAACTACCAATCACGACATTCAAGGTCAGCCACCAGGAGAGATGACTAATAAACTCGTGGAGAAATCGAATAGCCACTTCAATTCAAATTGAAGTATGTGCTGACGGAAGATGTCTCCTAGTGGTGGGGCAATGAAAACTTCGCAAATTAACTATCCAGTTAGCTGAGAGAACACAACCACATCACAATCAGTCACCTGAGAAACAGATCATCCTCATCATATCCAAGACATTCTTTGATTAGATCACCCCGATATCACTAACCACCAAACACTGCTGGTTGATATGAATGGTATACGACTGCTTATCTAAATCAATAATCAATAGTTTATAGTTTAATGAATCCGTACAATTATGAAGGTAGAGTTATCTATGGTCGGCCTGCAAAATTTGGGCTACCGATATACACGCTGAAAATTCCATACTTGTACCAAAAATACAGTGTGGAATCAAGCTGTAATCAAAAAAAAAGGAAAACAGAAGTGATGGATAACTAATGTTGTGCGTCAGGGAATCCTCAACTTCACGATGTTAATTTTATAACTTATGGATGGATATGAATTCTATTTGATTTAGATATTTTAAGAACTGTCTTATTATCATGAAGAAGTTGGTTAACTGGAATAGCTAAGAAAATTCATTCCTTTTGAATGAAGGCTCTAGAGCAATGTCCATGCTCTAAGGAGGCCTCTGGTAGTGTTTACTATGCTCCCCATCTCCCTCAAATGTGCGATGATATTGTAACAGTTGAAGACTAGAGATTTAGTAACGGAATGCTGATTTGGAATTTCACATCTCTATATATAGGGAAATTATGTACACCTTATATGAAAATCGTCATTTTCACAGATCTCCCGTGTCGTGTGCTACTTCTGCCCTTTGTATTGTCTTTCTTTGTCTTGTTTTCATGTCTCCCATGGTTCCCCGGAATGCTATGACACATCTCCTCTCGTTTACCTCATTTCATTCCCTTTATCCGCTATTTGATGCTTTTCTGCCGATGTACGTTTCTTTATACACTACTAACGGATCTTGTTAGTAGCATAAGCCACAATATTACAGCACTGATAAACGCAGACTTCTAAATTAAAGGCCAAGGAGAGAAGTGGTAGAACAGGCTGACTAGTTCGTTTATTTCGGATATTAATTAGCGGACAGTGGACGTTTTACTGATAATGTGAACGTCTCCTACGAATTTACGGATTTGAGTTATCTTTTAGACGCTGGAGAGAGACATCAGGCTATCTATCTATCAGAAATCCTGTACTATTCAGTAGTTTACTTTGTTCTACTTTATAACCAAGACAACATGTATGGATTTCAACTCACTGATTTGGTGTTTCATCATTTCTTTTGGAAAATGGTAAAGGGATTTAGATCTTGGGAGTAGGATTCTAAGCATGGAGGGTAAGTGAATTGATGAAGTTGTAATATTTCATTAGTGAAGATATCTGCGGAACCATTGTATTCTTCAGCTATCACTGTCGCCTGAGAAGAATTACGCCAATCTATACAGTGATTGACTTTCGCTTTTAACTGAAGACCAGTGAGCACCGGAAAGCTGTTACCTCCTATTTTGAAATTGTTTAGCAATACACAACAACGATCTTATCATCAAGGATGAAACCCGAAAACTTCAGGTTAAGAAATCAAGCTCGTTGACCATCCAGTCACTTGGTCAACTGGAATTCGATGACTCTTGGATTTCAGCTCTGTCAACTCGAATTGTAATGCTACCCTCCCCAAAAATGCCTTTGACAAGTACCCACTTCAGGATGACGTGGTGGACGGTAAGAGTCATTAATTCCCACTGCAGTTTCAGGAATTCCATCAAGCAGCTGTCAGTGAGCTGGTTGATTGATGTTTGGGATGCTGGCAGTTAATGTTTTAGGATGTAATACTTCCGTGCATCTAGTTATGTTTGTCATTCAACTCACTAATGAAGCATTTTCGTCCACCCATTCAACTGAAACGACTGATTTATTCGAGCTATCCAAATTCTACTCAGATAGCTAAACAATCCGGCGCGATATTAGGTGGCTGGAGGTACTTACGCTGCAAGTCTTAAGTTTCGTGTTTATAAGAATGCACCAGAAAAGTGAATCTGCCATGGCGGACGGCATAAGGTCTCTACAAGGATTCGAACCCTAATCAGCCAGTACTGTAAGTCAGAGGCGTTACCACTGAGCTACTGACTGTAAGAATAGACAAAATATTAATCAAAGAGCATATAAGATCATTTTCATCGTGGTTATTTTTTTCTTTCAGACATTCTGTCACAGCATGGATATGTGGGATGAATATTACCAGCTGGTGGCGACAACACCGCAACCGCCATATGAAGTACTGTGAGTGATAGTTTATATTGTATGAATTAGAAATATATCTGTAATGTCATTTTTTTTAAAGTGATCCAATCACTCTTATGTCTAGGTGACGAGTCCCAAGTGGGACGAAACGTGCACTCTTCCGACACCATTAACAAAATAACCTGAATTTTGAAAACTATTCGATGGAACATTTTATTACAAAGGGGTCTTATCATGGATTAACATCCATTTTCTTTGTTATTATTACTCCCTTGTGTTCTAAATGGAATATATGGCTTCAAAAGCACATCTCCATTTTGTACTGTCATATGGAGCCCTCTTCAGCTGGCCTATCGATGACCCATAAGCTTTCACCTCCCATACCCCGCTCATTAACTCCCATTTGCGCTTCACTCGGGAGATAGTCGGGCGTGCGATGTCACCCGACGGTCTACTCCTCAGTGTCTGTCCGATCTATATCAGTTTACATCAGAAGCACTGGATTCTTGATTAGTTCATTTCCAGATCTTCTTGTTGCTAATTTCTTTCTGACCAGCTAACATCAGATGTTCAGTATTGAGCAAACTAGGGCAGCTCCTGATAAAAGCTTTCAGAAGCCTATTGACAATGGTTTTCGAAACGCTCTAGTCAAGTTTCTGATCCATAGAAAAGAAGAACCGAAATAACAATAGACAAAGTTAAACTTTAAGCACTACTGACTACCAATCAGCAAACGACCTTCAACGGGCCGATCACATGAAAGAGGGATTTTTGATTAAGGAAAACGTATATTTATGAAAAAAAAGCATATAAACTGCATAAAACGCTTACATAGGGTATCTTTCTCTAACGTGTGACAAAAACATCTCCCAGTTACGCATAGGACTGTCAACAGAAAAGTCACACCATATTCTGTACATATATTCATCCAAATGACTATAAATGAGATCCTTTTAAGATCCATTTATAGCCCTAATCCTATTTTTCAAACTTCCCCAAAATCCTTCTGTATAATTGATGTGTGTCCCCGTAATGGCATCCACAAAATCACTGGAATGGTCCACTCTGTGATGAATATCCAAGAGATAACAGAGAGTTATAACCTTTCCGTTCATCCGTATTCACTATTGATTCCTGTCCCACAGGTCTAGTAATAATAGGTATTAAAGTATTTGCCTTTCTATTTGGTATTCTCTCCACGAATCCTTTTTGTAGGCAGGTGTCATATAAACCAATTACCCAAACATTGTTGGCTCGCTGACGACTACGGTTGTATTTTTCCTTCAGTAACACAGTTTCGTTCATGTGCACAAAAATGCCCTCTCCACCCAACGACGAAGTAATTTTTTCCATTTTCCATGATGCGGTGGCTCTGTAGTCCTGATACCACTGAACTTTTGAGACGAGGCTATTTTCGGTTTCAGTAGCTGCGCCTCTCACAAGCTGTTTTAAAATCCAGAAGTTACAAATATACAAGATCTGTGTTAAGGAGAGAGGCAACAAATGTTCCTATGAAATATTAGATTTGTCATCTTACATTCTCTAATACAAACTCGTCTCAAACAAATTACACAACGATGTACACATCCATTAATCGACCTGCTAAAGATTTTTAAACTCATCACACACCACCACCACATGAACAAATCCTCTCCTTCCTGAGCAACCCAAAATCCAGGTAATCCTGCAAAACATTATCCTCCTCGAACTGCTAGTGTAACTTTGTTAGAGCACGCATTTGAAACGAATCAAGCGCTATACAACCTTGAACCCAAGTACATGAACCTCATTGGACCATTCGAGGTCGTTCGCTGATTGGTAGTTAGTGGTGCTTAAAGTTTAACTTCGCCTAACATTGGTGTTGAGAATCCGATACTTGTTTTTTATGCTGACTGAGTGCAGAAGTTTTTCTAATTGATCCAAAGTGATGAAGGTCTGTCTTAGCTTTCCGATTCCGGCTAGCATTGACATCCTCATTCGGGTTTCCTACAGTTGAAACAATGCTGCCTGATGAGATAAGTGAACGGAGTGACCTCTTTCGAATTTCTCCCGTGACAGTGATTGGTGTATGTTGTTGCTGTTGTTGTTGTTGGTCAGCTAGTCATCTTCATCATCTCGATCTTCTCTGTCTTCAGTGATTGTTTCTTCTGTCAATTTATTGAGTTTTTAACACCTGTAAATTTTCGAGTTTATACATTCTGCATTCCTATGGTTATTTTCGCTTTCATCGAAAGAAGACGTAGGTCAACCGACTGGCTTCTCAAAGGCTTTCGCCTTGCTACATCATTATGTCTCTCTGGTTCCAGTGAAGAATAGGTCTGTTTTTTTTCTTTCTCCTTGTGCTTTGGAGTTTCTATAGCAAGTGGATTGATTTTTAGGTGTAGAATCGCTTACTGCACTTCCAATCTTTCCTCTTTCCCCGAGCTTACAACCGTCTAGAAAACTAACGAGGTAGTAGACTAAGTGGGGTTACTTTCAATACATGCTTCCGAATAGAACATAAAGCTTTAGGCCTTGGGAGTTTATTTCACAAAATGAGTTCCCTTGACCCATACACAACCTTCCTCTTTTCCCGATCTGACTGCCAGCTTGTAATCTAGACGAGTTTCAGGAGTGCATCTATCAAGAATCAAACCCAAGCTTTCCACTAGTGAATCACCGATATTATTCGCAAAATAATACACCAGTTGGTTGTCAAGATAACTAACTGAACATATTCACTGCACTCGTTTGGAAGATTGGAACTGTATTCACATTTGAGTGCTCTCTATCCTTGGTGAACCAGCCCAGTTTACTAATTACATTCTGAGCAGAAATGACTTGTTTATTTGTTTATATTGATGTAATTAAACAACTATCAATATTCGATTTGCGTGCTTCAGTAGAATTCTGTGTATCAGTGGAAAAGTTTATCTTCATTTTGAATTGTATCTATAGATTAATGATGTCATGAATAAAAGACTTGATTGGACATGAAAAACTTCACAATGTATAATAAATGCAATTTTCAAGAGTTGTAGGAATTCGATTCGTTTCAAGCTTGATTGTGAGATGAGATCATTTAAACAAGCATTCGACAGCTGTTTCCTCCTAGTTCGACACTCTTCATCTGTACGGACCTATCACAATTCAAATTGAGGACCTACTGGCCGTAAGATGACTTCGTAGACCATTTAGTCACTGAGAGACAGCTCAGTGGATAGTCCATGAATTTCAGCTTCTACAAATTCATTTTAGCACCACCACCATAAAATGTTACTAGAAATCCAGCAGACGTCGTTCTGTAGCCAGGCACTAGCTAGTATCAGACGTTAGCTGGTGGTCCTGCTAAAATCACCAGATGGTATAAGCTAGAATCCATCTGCTGATCACTGGATAGGGTCCTTGTGGCTGAATGGTCTACGAGCTCACCTTGTAACAGGAAAGTATCCTGGGTTCGTATCTCAGTAGTGTGTGCGCACTGCTGAAGACTCCCAAATAAGGACCGAACAACTCCACAACACTCCAGTACAGGTTTTCCAACACTTCTCCAACTGATTTCGTGAAATCCTGTATCCAATCTAGCCGCTGCAGATCAACACTTCAAATTTCAATAAAGTTGACATATTCCACGTGAAGATTTGACAGAATTTCTAGGTCTCTCAGAGGAATGATCTTAGTGATGTGTTAGCCTAAATGGTGAATACATTGAGAAATTAGCACTAGGAAAAGTTAGTTGAATGGCAGAATCCTGAACAACAACATCATGTGCATGATCCAGGGTACAAATGCCGGTTGACGAGCTCCTGAAAGAATCTCACCTACTTTCCCATCGGGTAATCAGTCTGAACAAGTGGAATGCTTGACTGTGCGCGGTTAGCAAGCATTCCTACCCCGTAAATACAAACCCCCAAGGCCATTGAGAATTCAAGTCCTACGTATCAATCGTAATTCAAGGGAATGAAAAAGGACATCAGTAGAATAAGATGGATAAAAAAAATTAATTCATGAATCCAGACAATAATGAAAACAAATTGAAGTATGCGCTGAAGATGTCACCCAGTAGGGCGATGAAAGCTTCGCAAACTAACCATCCAGCTCAGAGAACAAAACCACATCAAAATAATGAAAACAAAACACGTAGTTCAGCGAAGAGTCTCTTTTCGCCGGCGAATTCATTTTTTCTTAGCTGTACAATCCCAAATAAATATGTGTTATTTTGCATATACGTGTACATTAAGTTTGTCAAACAAAAATACAATTGGTTATGGTTATTTTAACTCAACAGGTGAAGATTGGTAATACAGGTCAAGAAAATTAGGCGTTAATCAAATTAGGGTAGTAACAAAGGTGATGAGTTGTCACAAACAGTTGTTAAAAGAAGTTATGTAATAATATGAATAGTTTGATGATTGAGTTTTACTCAGGATACACATAGAAATAAAGTAGAGAATACGAAATTACGCAAGAATTCTAAATGAATACAAGAATTATAAGCAATTAAAGAACAGGCAAACAAACAAAATTAAGTCATCAAAATCAACAAAGTTGTATGCACAGCTCTGGGTTTTCTATGTGAATGGCCAGAACTTCAGAGATACAAAGAAGACAAAACCGTATTGCCTTTGGTAGGTTATTCTTGACTCTATAGATTACTTTGAAGAAGGCGTTTGTTGAGATGGAATGATCAGTGTTGACCAGGTCTTCAATTATCGCACTCCTTATTGCACCAGTACTGCCTTCTCGCAACCATGCTGGATAGTGTTCTTCAATCCTCTTGGACAGGGTGCGAGTCAAACGACCGATGTACCTGGCTTCACAGCAGCACATAGAAGTGATCAGATGCAAAATCTTGTCTTTGAGACTTCTGCAGATAAGTGGGCGACTGGAGAACACTATTCTTAACGTTGCTGCAAAGAATGTTCTTCTCAGAGATGATGTGATCCTTCTCTAGAGAATATCGCTTGTTAAATCTCCCTTGAAATCAAGGTTCATGTAGAGTTTCTTTTTCGTCGCAAGTGAAGTTTCATTTTTACAAATCCTTGGTTTGATATTTTTATCAATGGTATCCATTTTAGATGAAGTTTCTCTCAGAATATCTAATTCTGTTTCTAGAACATCGGAATTACAGATGGGTCGGATGCGCGTAGCAAGTGATTTAATTAAATTCCACTTTTGTTGAATTGGTGGGTACCCAGTTATAGAAGCTCGTTAGTCGACCATTCTAAGTAGCTTTTTCTATGGATTGATCTTCTTAGGCTCCCATCAGCTCTTCTTGTTAGTTCTACATCAAGAAACAGAATTTTTGATTCGTTTTCCAATGCAAGAGTGAATTTTATTGCTGGATGGCAACAGTTAAATGTCCTCAGCAGTAGATTTAGGTCACTGTTGTTGTCGCAAATAATGAATACTTCGTCTACGTATCATTTATACAGTCGTAATTTGTCAATGCTCGGCTTTAGTCAACCTTTCTCGAGGCTTGCCACGAACCAGTCTGATAGTAGTGGACCCAACGGAGATCCCATTGCACTTTAAACTCCAAAATTCTCAACCTCATTTTCCATTGAACAACTTTAATTATTACTAATATTTTCTTGTAATTTTTCATATATTTTTGTACAGAGTAAATCATATCATGAATGAACTGCCTGATTTTGCCACAACATTCAACTGTCCAGTTGGTTCTCCAATGAATCCTAAACAACGTTGTCGTGCTGTCTTATAAAAATTGATACCATTCCCCGGTATTCTTTTGGTTATTTTTAAACTGTTTTTTCTTCTTACAACGAGACATAAAACAAACATTGGAAACATTGAACCTCCTTTCTGTTTGTTTGGTTATTTTAAAACTCTATCATCCATTAAGGCACAAGGTCATCAAACAAACACGTAACCATATACAGACTCGCATGTCACTGAATCACTTTTAACAAATATCAAAGTCTTCTTTCATCAAAATTAAAATTATGTAATGTGTAATTCAATATGCATATATATACCTCATTCAAAAAAATAAAAAATGAAGTTTATAGATGATTTAAAATTTGATTATTATTATTATTACACATACTACTTATATACTCTTGTTTATATATTACCTCATTCCCGGCCCCCTCAAACCTCCCGCCTTCTTGTATTCATCAATTTCATAATTATTTTCCAATATAAACAATATTCTGTCATGATTTGTTCCTCTTCTTTCGCATATTTTTACGTTATACATCACAAGGGGGATGAGGACGAGGAATAAATGTCCAAACTGAGTTCCCTTCTAACAGTTTGAGAAAAAAACATTTGAGCATTAAGCATATTCTATATTGATTATTAGAAAGAGTCTTTTGGTTTTCCCATTGAATGGAAATGACAAAAAGATACAATCGTCGTTTTTAACTGACGTTTCGATAAACTGTAAAATCCTGTTAAAAGCTTTATCAATTTGATAGAGAAGATTTGTAGCTCAGGTGGATAATTTTGATGTGATTGTGTTCTGTGAGATGGATAGTTAATTTGCAAAGTTTTTATTGCCCCACCACTAGGAGACATCTTCCGTCAGCACATACTTCAATTTGAATTGAAGTGAGCTTTAAGATTTCTCCACGAGTTTATTAGTCATCTCTCCTGGTGGCTGACCTAGAATGTCGTGATTAGTAGTTTTTGTGTGTTTTCACACCCTCTAGGCGGCTAATTGTATTGAAGCTGATTGTTCCTCTGACTTGAACCTTGACCCTCTGTGTGTGAGGTCTCTTTCTTATCGGTTGATAAATTTTGTCTATCTCGATGCGTCTATTGATTGAGGATTCACTGGAATGTCAAGCTTCTAAAAATTCTCTGGCATTCTTGTTGTTTTCTCTGTCTAATATTTGAACGTTGTCCCAGTCGAATTGATGTCCATTGTTGTCTGCAGGTAGTGATATGAGTGATGGAGTGGATATCATGTCTTTTGACGGCTAGCTTATGTTCGTGGATACGAAGATGAAGGGGACGTCCACTTCGGCCAATGTAGTGTTTTTCTCAGCTATTTACAATTTATTTTGTAGATGATGTTGGTTTTGTCTTCTTTCGCTGTTGAGTCTTTTGGTTGACATAGAATTGAGTGAAGCGACTTTGTTGGTTTGTGTACGACATTGATTCTTAAAGGTTTGAAGAGTCTTGTAGTGATTTCTGAGATATCCTTTATATATGGTAAGGCGATTTTCTTTGTTCTTTCCTTGAGGGCTTTTGGTTTGATAGGTTGGCTAGGGGGTATACGTCTTTTGAAGAAATTCCGTGGATATCCATTCTTTTGAAAGACGTCCATAAGATACTTTTCTTCAATTTTCTTTAAGGTGGGAGTGCTACAATGAGTCCTGGCCTTCTTGAATAGTGTCTGTATGCAATTCCTTTTTTGTTTTATTCGATTGTTGCTGTAGTAATTCAGGATTTGGTCTGTGTAAGTTGATTTCTTATAAACATGAGTTTCTAATTCCCCTGTGGTTGTTCGCTTCACTATATCAAAGCGGTAATATTGAACCAGAAAATCAACACCGACGTTGAATATGATTGAAAACGTATTTGCGAAGACATGCACCCCAACATATGACATTCCATATAGATTAGAAACGTCAGACGAAGAGCACTCAATAAACGTACAACATTAGAGTGGTTTTCAAAACATCATACGCACACACATACACACACTACAAAGCAACTTTGTCCATGTAAAATAGCGAATTTCAAAGGATTCTCAATGCAATTGTGTCTATAAAATAAAATGCTTTGGACAAAACTCTCCAGAGAAAAAACAAGATCAGAAGAAATGAACACCGCAAAACATCGCTCCGACCATTCATAAATCCACTTGTGAACTAGAGAAACCTGGTAAATCATCCCCCGTAAGTGGTCTACACCCTATAGTAGAATGAAGTCACAAAATTCATTTTGACATTGCTGAAATCATGCGGAAAAATTTCATAAATCATAAAGAACGTCTAATATTAGTAGCACTTCATATCAAATAGAATCCAAATTGTCTGAATAAGGGTGATGATGGACTAGAGCAGAATTAGAGCCCATTTCAACAACCCAGTTTCCATCCACGAAGTGGCAAAACCCCACTTCTTCAGCATAAGGTGATTTTACAATTTTATTTTCAAGTTGGCCCATTGCTAAAAATAACAGAATCCTGTGTAGATTATTGGAATTGACAAGTGTATTAAATTATTAGAACAGCGTGTGTTCACATACTGAAATTGATTATCACATTTTTGTTAATTATGCTGCTGTAAGCACAAGCTGAAATTTTGTAAGTTTTGGTTTAATATTGCCACTTTGATAAAGCTATTAGCAGCATCATTAAATGGTGAAATATCAGTCAAAACAACAGCAGAATCGTTTTATCTTTTTCATTCTTTGAGAGATACTAAAAGAACTTAGAATAAAGCAAGAACAACAGTGGTTTTGCAGAATAAAATGGTACCATCAGTGTTTATTTCGTTGGCCTCTCATCAGCTGCTTACAACCCAAAGTCATTATTAAATATGTGATATTAAACACTATTCCGAACAATAATGATCATACACAATGGAAACTTTCGACATTACGTAATCAGATCAAAGAGGGGTGAAAATATCCAGTTACCAGGTTGGCAGGGAAAGAATCATAACTGTTTCTTTCCGATGGAGATGACTTCAGCACACTTGAGAAGAACTGAACTCTCTTACCTATTGATAACTTTGAACGATCTTGCGACATCCAACTCATGACCGGTGTCAAGGAGATGCCTGGCGATGGCACTGTTTAAAGCATTTGTTCCCTTTAGATATAAAGTTTTTGTTACATGTTCAGAAAATCGGAAGTATATCCTTCATTAAGTTCTTCCAATGTAACTGCTCCCGCAGATACATGTAAATTCGTATATACAGTTGGAGTTAACATGAGAAGGATATCTATCGATTTTTTGTTACACCAAAAGGCAAGTTGTTCGATAGATGGGAACGGCCTTAGCTTCAGGATAGACTCTGGCATCAAGCCTAATGAAATGATTGTTCAAGAAATTTCAGAATGGATGAAAAACGATTCGTCTGATATACGCCAGCTTACGTCATTTCTGGCGTAGATATGATATCCGGCTATCGAACATAGAATGTCTGGACTACTCAGTATTTCAATCTGTCCTTCTTCATAGCTGTGATATACAACCATTGGAAGTAGGAAAGAGGTCAGCCGCATTCTGACCTGAGAGTTCTGTCTCCGGCATTAAGTGGAACAAGAAGGTGAATAGTATTGAGGTTAGGCTTACAGTGTTAGGTAAGAAGGCTAATCCAGTAGAAGAGGTTGTTAAGCTACGTTGATTGAGGTAGCTAAAACGCGTATCACGCATGCCAAGCGATCACCTTCCTCGTTCAGAAATGTTAACTTGCATCGGATAATGTTTGGAAACTGTAGGTTGGAGAGGTGTAGACTGTCTGGGGTTCTTGAGACATTAAGAACCAACGGCTGGAGATAGTTGACTCATTATTATTCACTAAAACACAGAATTCGTACACTATGGAAACCTAGAGATCTGTCAATCAAACTCTTCTCATAGTTTGTGGAAGGCCTGAGAGATACTTACCTCCGAGACTGAAACAAGTGGTTATCTGAGAAAGAGTCTTTAACTAGAAGTTTGATCTATGAAGCGATAAAGCAGAATTAGGAGATATGCTCCCATAGTTCGCTGTGAAAATATTCTGGCGCCTATTTACATCATAGACTTGGTATCTGGGTATGTCAATTGCCCTAGGTAGACCTGGATGTCCAACAGTCCGATTGTATTGGTGAGATGTTCATATTCACTCTTTCACTCTTGTGACGAACACCCGTGATATGTTTTCAAACAGTAAGTAAGACTTAATCGACTGAGGCTATCAACTCATGGTCAAATGATGAGAGTATTTCGGGGGGAAGGTCGAAGTCCACCCAAATTGGTCATATGGTTCAAAATCAATCTCAGAGGTGAAGATGCATTCACTCTTCGGTATCTTCCAGATCCATTATATCTTTATTACTTCCCATATGTTTGTTACATCCCTCGCAAATTTCGGTTGATTACGGTTACTTTTGAGTCATTTCTCCATTATATTGTGCACTATATTATTATTCCCTTAGGTTCCAAGTGAAACATGCGGCCTTAACAGCACGCCTCTACAGTCCCCATCAGCTGACTCAACGACTGTCCCTAATCTCTCATCTCCTCCTCCCCAAACGATCTCCTCTATGTCACCCTCGAACCCACATCAAACTCATCGTTTCTTATTCGGGTTCCACTTGAGCACCGGCCTGACGCTTGATACCACTCAGCGGTCTCCTCAGAGTGTGCTCCATCTATCTCCATTTTATTCGGAATATTTGCTGAGCAGTAAGTTCGTGATTGATTCGATCCCAGAGTTTCTTGCTGCTAATTCTTTCTGGCTGGCCGTCTGACTTTTAGTACTGAGCCAGCGAAGACAGACAGCTGCTGAGGTGATATGTATCCACCTAATATGTGTGTTTGTTTTTGACAGTCTGTTATATTTTGCTATGTTTATATGGATCGATATTCCATTATAATTGACAATATGTTTTTGTCTGTCCACTAACTAAACAAACATGTCTGACCTTGTTGTCAAATGACATTACAACCAGTCATGTTAAGACTGTCTATTGATTCGTTCGTTTTTAAACATTCGCTCATACACTTGTGTGACATTGATTTTCCTTGTTTGAAATATACAAGTATCATCGTGAACCTGGTGGTTTTCTGATTTCCGCCTTCTTGGGTCAGGACTATTAATTACTCGACCAGTACATAACAAGGACCGACTAGCTTAACACTGGCGTCGAAAATCCCAATTTTGCTTTTGATGCCTACAGCATATTTCCAGACCTATTTCAGAATGATGAAGGTTCGTCTTACCTTCGTTTTGACAACCTCATCCGTACCTTCGCCTATAGTTGAGACGATAGTGCCTAGATAAGTGACGGAAGTGATTGCCTTCAAATTTCTTCGGTTGACGGAAGTTTACCCGTCTGAACTCCTGCACTTCTGTGCAAACTTCTACTTCGGAATCTCAGCCAACTATGTGATTGTTAAAATAGCTATGTGATTCTCAAGAAAGTATCAAAGTACATTTGGTTATATAATTCGTTCAGTATACATTCAGACAGGTTCATTATCTGCTGTATGTAT